CTCTTCCATGTCTTCATGGCATCATGTAAAAACTGCATCAATCAGTACTAATTTTCTCATATTTTTTTTATTGCTGATGAACATTTGGATACTTTCTAGATAAACAAAACGACCAAATTTATTTCTGTTTTTTTTTTTTTCTGTACATTTTGATGTTTATTTGGTGCTTCTAACAATATATGCATAAGACATTATATATGTTATAATACACAATACACTACAAACGAATGGCAAAAGTCTTTGATGATGCTGGCAGGAAAAAGAGGAGAAATGTAGGTGAATAGATTAAAACCATTTAAGTTCTTCAAGTCTTTAAGTTTCATCCTGGAAAAAGAGAACAGCTTTTTAGATGGGATTTTTTTTTCAATTTTTAGGTGATTTCTTCTCTAGAAATTTTTAAGTAGACAACTTGTGCAAGAAATTTACGTGGATTCTGACTGACGTAAAGAGAAAATTGATACAGAGGAGGAATATAGACAGATGTGAACAAAATGATACATACATGGAAAGATAGATATGAATACACCGAGATATATACATACACATAAGAACAGGACAATACATAACACACATACATGAACACACACATATATATATATATATATATATATATATATATATATATATATATATATATGAAAAAAACGTAAAGTTTTTTCACCTAAAATTGTTTTTGATATATAAAAATGTATATACTCTTCCCACATCATATATATATATATATATGTATGAACTGTATTTCCCAGCATATAACACAGATATAATTTTGTAAGGTAATTAGAAGAAAAACTCATAATATTCAATTGATTAAACCATATTTATAAATCATTTTTGTTTCTTATATTTTCAAGTTGTTTTTATTTGTAGTTATTATTTCTCACATATACTTGTGTATAAGTCAATTTTATGTATAGTGTGACTCCAGAATTTTTTGCATGCAATTTTGTTCTCACAGAAAAGATTTACCTGTGTATAGCACAACCAGTTACCGAAAATGCAGAATTTTTTTAACATACATTACTTAAATTACCTCTGTATAGTGTAAAACTCTATTTTTTGCTTAAAAAACTTATCATACAAACTCTCACTATACTCAAGTATTTATGGTAATCATTTGCCATCATATATATTGATTCTGGTGTAACCAAAGGACTTGTGCTTTAAACAGAAATGTTTAGGTGTTAGGCTTCTACCATGAGAATATAATACAGAGTCAGTTTTGGAGGGTTTTTAAAGTGCATTTTATATGATAGAAAATACAGTAGTTATATATAAGCAGAAATATATATATATATATATATATATATTATATAAGAATGAAAGAGATTAATGTATTAGATATAGAAATAAATAATTGTCTTAAAGCAACAATAATCACAACAACAGAATATTGTTATTAACACATGACATTATTTCTACAAGACAGAAAAGCACATCAAAAATTATTCAAAACTATGTTCTTTTCGAAGAGAAAAAAAATCACATGCAAAAGAGAAAATAGTAATGACTTTAATCACATTAAGAAATGCTCTGAAGTACTTTCTTCCATTTAACTTTCTGGTTCTTGTTACAACTTTGAATCAAGTAAAGACAAATTGGTTGATATATTTTTTTAAATTCTTGCAGAGAACTTGCAGTTACAGAAAATTTGTACCAATAACCGATTCTAGTTTGTTTTTTATGTAAATGCATCTTCTTCTATGTCACACATTTGCAAAAGAAAATTCCAGCTTCAGAAAATTCAGACATTCTTGTCACCTTGGCACAAAAATAAGGAAGAAAATTCAGTTGTTTTTTGTTGATTCACATAACTGATTACAGAATAACCCATCAAATGTATTATTATTATTATTATTATTATTATTATCATTATTATTATTAAATGTGAGTTATTAGACATTTTTCATCTGGTTAAAACCTGACACTTCTCATTCTTTTATTCTTAGATGATACACACATTGTAGTGAACCATTCCCTTCACATTCCATTGGTAGAGATGTAACTTCCACTTCAAGAACCTTCCTACGAGACCCCTGCTTTGTGGAATTAACTCCCAAGGGGATGCTTCCCTAATCACTACAAGCTTAACCTGTCCAACTCTAGGGTTAACTGTTATCTTACTGACATATCCACATAAGCTTACTCTTACTCTCTCTGTAACCCTCTGCTCAAGTGGCTCTTGGGCCTTGTACAGGGTGAACATCAATATAAAAAAAAATCATCAGCATATGAGCAATAAAGGGTTTCAGATATAAGTTTGACCATTAAAACATGGTTAATTTCTATTACTAAATTGAGCCAAAATTTATCTATGAACTTTCACCTCTATTACCTCTATCCGAAATATGTACCACTGAACCATAACCATGGAGCACTATTTTTCATAGAGGTTAACAGCTTAGACTTACTTTTCTCTGTCACTTGAGGTCTGATTCAGAATGTTGGTAATATGGCACTGCCCAAAACAAAGAAATATCCGTAGGTGAATCTGGGTTTTTTTCTTTCTTTGGCAAGGTAACACTACACAGTGATTGCCTGCCAAATCTAACCTTCAATAACTGAATGATTTTCCCTGACAGATATCCAAAAACTGTAGACTTATGAAGAAATGGTACATTGAATAAAAGCCGAAAGACATTACCTGAAAGTATGTAGTTGGCCAGAATATAAAGAAGATTTATACAAAAGTGTCAAATTTTGAAAGACAGACCATGTATAAAAGATTATTACAAGTCCTTAACTTCTGTAACCTTGTGGCTGCGGGGCTGACATATGAGCTAATATGAGCTGCCTTTAAATATTTTGGAAGCTGGTTTATCAAATTGATGATGGCTTGTTAAAGGATGTCAGATTGAAAAAGAACAGTTGTTTTTGTTTGTTTGATAGCAATAAGCTAGACTTAAACACACACACACATATATATATATATATATATATATATATATATATATTCAAAAAGTACTGAAAACCTACAACTTATTAAATTTAAATTATGAAAAGGATAACATTTAAAGGAGTTTTTTCCATTGTTTAACAGGCTGCAATTTTTCTCAAATGTTCTGATTACACCAGTTTTGTTTTTGCAAAAATATTCATTTATCATTCATTATTTATTCATATCATTATCATTTATTACATTTTATCACTCTTTGACCAAATTTTTTTTTTTCTCCCTCTGAATTAAATTGCATAGATTTAGCATAATGTAACTTCAAAAGGAAACTCATATATTCCATATCAGATGATATGGTATATTTGATATATGGGATGTACCATATCATCTGATATGCTATATCCCATACCAAGAAATAATATCCTATCATGGAACAATGCCTTTGGCATCTTAAACACAAAACCACTGACAACCAAAGTTCTTCTCTCTGAACTTATTGATATTGATTAAAAAATTATCTTTTAAAGATAACCTTTTTTATATACTATTGTTTACCTAATACACAGCCCAAGAGCCACAAGGTAGAGGATTAATAAATTATGTTCTTGCAAGAGCATACAAGGAAAGAGCAAAAAGTACATATTATGGGGATATGTAGGATAGATAATGGTTAATCTAGACGAAGAGGTTAAGATTTTGTCAATCATGGAAACATCCTTGTTTCTTTGACTTTCACATTAAACTGGAGGAATTTAAAGCAAGGAAATTATATTCCATATCACAGTAGCTTGTTAGGTTATGTACTAATGTCTATAGTATTTTGGTTAATAAAGAATGGTTGAGTTGAATATGTGATAGAAAATAATATGGAATAATCTAGAAAACACTATTTTAATCACTCTATCTAATAAAAAAGATTTTTGTTTTTGCAACTAAGGAAAAGGCAAAAACAAATTACTTCCTCCCTACAGAAGAATGCAGAGATTTCTGGGATAAAGATTTTTGACAAAGATGGGAATATTTTTATCATCTAAGGGCTGTTAAAAAAGCTACTGTGTTCTTGGCCACTGAATTGTTCCAACTAATAAACAATGGCAAAACCTTTTCAAAATAAAGAGAGAGATTGACACACAGACAGATGCACATCATTAGATAATATTCAAATAGTGAAAATTTCAAATCGAAATCAAGCAATAATGACCACACATGCATCTCACCACAGGTGTACATATTTACAAAAAAATGTCACCCAGTCACATGCAGAGAAACATGAATCAATATTAATCTTCTATGTGTATGGATTCATTTGAATCAGAAAACTGCATTTAGACTCAGTCCATAAAAATGATCCACTGCACCTAACACTTTTCTTAACTTTGAACTTCTCTTTATACCCTGGATACCTTTTCTTTTACCTTTTTCAACCAAGTGAATCTGACACAAATGAAGTCACCTATACAGCAACAGTAGTTTCAGAAAAGCCCCTTAAAATGGTATGTAAACTGCAATCCATGAATGTGGACAGTTAATATACATCAAGTATCACTTGTATGTAAAAAAACAAACTATATACATACAATATACACACACACACACATATATATATATATATATATATTTTATATATATATGAATGAAAGAAGTAATTTTTTATCTGATTTATATTTTGATTTGATGAAATTGACATAAGAATTGCAATAAAAACAGTTTTTCTCATTTTATGATGTTACTTTTTTTCTTTAACATTTGTGAAATACGTTAATATGAAAATTCTTAATAGAATTTTTACAACTAAATTTTTCTATTGTTTTTTGTTACTTCTTTATCTTATAGCAACATATCCTTAAAGTTAAAGTACTTTCTTTTACCTTGTACACACACACACACACATATGTGTGTTTGTGTATGAAAATGTACATACATTTATACATATGAAAATGTATATATACACACACATGCATGTGTATGAATGCATATATGTGAAAATACAGGTAGTGTGGCAAATGTGCAAAAACAAATTACCATTCCTCAGGAAATTACAAGTGTGAACAAAGCTATGATGAAGGAAGATTTTATTTAAGAATTCAGCTTATTAATCAGTGTGAAGTCAATGTTGGTGCATGGAGCTGAACAAAGAAATGATTTTAAAAACAATGGTGTTGGGGCCATTGGTTGAAAATGAAGCAGGAATTTTAGGAAATAAAAGAACAGAAGAAGAAAATGGAGGAAAAAAAAAAAAGAAAAGAATGCATTTGAAAATGATCAAAAAATCCAAGCAAGAAAATAAAAGAGAAGGCAAAGTTTCAGAAAGAAAAGAACAAAGCAGCATGTAAGAAAGAAATTTGAGAAATGAAGGAAACAGAAAGAAACATGAATGGAAATAAATGGAAAAAGAATGAAAGATGAAAAGAAAGATTAGAATGGAAGAACCAAAGACAAAGAAGAAAAATAAAAACATGAAAAAAAAAAGAAACTAAAAAAAGATCAAAAGTCATTTCAAAGAAAGAATGAAAAAATAAATGAACATTAATGAAATTTGAAAGAATTAAAAGATAATAATTCTTTATGACTTAATTTTTTAAAATCTGTATATTTTTAAAGTGACAAAAGAAAAAAAACAACCCTTTTTTGTATTCCTCTAAAATTTTGAAAAATTGACTTCTAAAATAAATTTAAGACTAAAGAAAAATTACCGCAAGAAAGATAGCAAATTCAATAACATCTGAAAATAAGAATAAAAGAAAAAGAGTCCCTAAAATGTATTATTCTTTGAACATAACTTCTGAGTCGGTTTGGGCGTGTCCATCCATTTGTGCAATGACATTTTTTTCACTAGGTTTTCACCTGTCTTTAGAGATATTTTTAAAAATGTTTCTTGATAATTGTAAATCTTTAATGATTTTTTGAATGATTTTGTGGTTAATTTTTGGTTGCTAATTAGGAATATGAAACATGACATGCGGACGATGTTGGTGCAACTTGAAAAAATAATGAAAAGTAGAAAACAGACTAGAGAGAAATTGGAAGGAGGAAATGGAAGAGAAAATGGTGAGTAAAAAGAGAAGAAAAGAAGAGGAAAAGGAATGAAGAAAAAAAAAGAAGCAAAGGAGAATATAATAAACAAGTAAAATGAAAGAAGAATAGAAAAATTATTTTTAAAATTCACATGCATAGAAAGAAAAATGTGCAAAATTGTATCCCACCAGTGAAAAAGAACAACTGTAAAAAGAAAGATTTTGAATGATCAAGGAGGGAATATATGGAACAGAAATGAATGAAGAATGGCAGAAAGTTTTTAAAAAAAGACACAATGCAGTAAAAAAAAAAAATGTTCAAAATGAATTAAAGAAAATATATATCGAATGGTGAAAGAAAAACAGGAATGAATGAAAAATTAATGTAAAAGATATTTTAAGAGAATATGAATAATGGTAGAAGCAAATGAATGATCATTTGAAGAATGCTCTAAAAGGAAGTTTGCTCTTGCATTACCAAAAACAAAGAAAAATCTTTGATAAGAATTAAGTGTAAATATATAAGAATCCAATGACAAGAGAAATGGATAAACATTTTGGTGGAAGTCTATATTCAGAGATGAAAGCAAACAGAATCAGGGCAGACAAAGAATCCTAATATCGACTACAGATAAATAAATAAATAAATAAATAAATGTTGATCCAATAATTCTTTGCTGTCATTTGCCAAATATGTTTCCCACTTTGCATACTGCTATCTTTACAATTTACCTTATATTCTTCTAAAATGCAGTCTTTGTTATCATAATTCCTGAAGAGTATGGTAAAAAATGAGTGTCATTAACAAAAGCTGGGAAATGTAAATTTAGAAGATAGAGAGAATGAAAGGAAGACAATAAAGAAGTGAAAAATAAGAGAGAGAGAGAGGAACAGAATGAAAAAAGGGAGGTAAGGGAAAAGAGGATAAAAAGAGAAAACAGAGAGGGAAAGGAAAAGTGTAAAACACTGAGGGGAAAGAGAAACAAGAGATGAGTAAAGAGAGAGAGAGAGAAACAAAAGAAAATGAATAGAAAGAGAGGAAATGCAAAAGATAGTAAGTAAGTAAAACAGAGAACAGAAACAAAAAGAAATGGAATAAGATTAAAACATAAGAGTGGAAAAAGTGAAAGAAGATGAGAAGAAAGCAACAATAAAGGTGAGTAAAAGAAGGAATGGCAAGAGAGATGGTGGGAGGAGATAGAAAAATAAAGTCTGAGCAATAAAGAGTGAGGAGTGACAGAGAGAAAGAAGAAAGACAGGCCTGAAAATGAAAATAAAAAGAGAGAGAAAGAAATACAGAAATTGGCTAAGTGAAATGTAATAAAGTGAAAAGAAGATACAGAGAATGATGGAGTGAGACCGAGAGAGAGAGAGAGAGAGAGAGAGAGGAAGAATTAGCATGACAAAAAGAGAGAATGTGACAGAGAAATATCAGAAAGTAAAATCAAAGAAGCCCAAAAGAGAAAGAGTACAGAGAGGAAGAAACTAAGAAGAATAAGAGAGAGCACAAAGAGAAAAAGAAATAGGGAAAAAGAAAGAAACTAAGAACAAGAGAGAGAGAGTGCAGAAAGAAAGAAAAATAGTGAGAGAAAGAAACTAAGAAGAATGAGAGAGAGTGAGCGCAAAGAGAAAGTTAAATAGTCAGAAAGAAAGAAACTGAGCATGAGAGAGAGCGCATAGAGAAAGATGAATAGTGAGAGAGAAAGAAACTAAGAAGAATATGAAAGAGAGAGTGCAGAGAGAAAGATTAATAGTGAAAGGAAAAGAAAGTAAGAAGAGAGAGAAGTGAGAGAAAGGGAAAAAAAAGAAGAGGAGCATGAAATACATGTGTTAAATACTACACATAGGTGCTTATATCTTGTGTATCTATCAGACAGTGAAGAGCCTTAGATTTGCATGGAGTTGGGGGGGGAGTATGTTTGGTTCATATGGCAGAATAGATGAGGAAGAGGCAAATAGGAGTTAAGAAGAAGTTGATTGGACAAGGAGTGCCTGTCAGAAGCACCTGCTTCAGTACCACATTAGTTGAGATGAATAAGCCTTGTTCATGGTTGATTTCACCTTCTGTAGAGCCAATAATTCCATACATGGGGGCTTGTATGCATATATATGTCCATGAATATGCATTCAGCTATACGTGTACATCTAAAGTCTACAAGATCATTTTTATGCCACTCTGTGTCCCTCTAACAAAGTCGACATATTTCTATGTTCTGCTTTCAAACTGTACGAATGTTGAATGGTGCATACATATACATACATACAGACACACACACACACATATATATATATATATATATATACTTTTTAGATAAGAATATACAAATAAGGTCATTTTGTAAGAAACACACACACACACATTCACATATATAAACTGAAATATACAAACACATTATACAAAGATACACGCTCATATGCACACACAGGTGCATATACTCACACAAACACATACACATACTCACTGACTCACACACACATACAGATGAGGAGCTGCTAAAAAATTCTCAGTCTTTCTTCACAAAATCAGTATTCTGATATTTTGTCATTAAATACTGATTTTGGGAAAAGGGTTGAACCAAGAAATTTACAGCACACCCATTGTATACATACACTTGTAACTATATATATATGTATATTATACATCTGAACAGATGTGAGTAGTTTTATATATTTACACATCTATATAAATATGAATATACAAATATATTTATTTTGATGGATGCATATTTATGCAGTTCTCTTTTCATATGCTTACGTCTTTATTCAAATATGTGAATAGAGAAACAGGATAGAAGATTTCTTGTTAGCTTATTGGTTGAGATAGCGCCATCCTCATAATTGGAAGCTAGCAAATTTGAATTTTGCATGAGGTGTAAAAATTTCCATAAAGAAAAACATGTATAAAGTTACAAATTTGATATTATGTATAGCCTTGACCCTTATCAGCTAAAGGCAAGTCGCTAGAAAACTGATAGTGCAAAAGGAACTGGTGTCTCTAACATTACACAAGCTCATAAATAAACTTGGAATCTTGAATTTGTAGATATTGACTTGATGAGTTTTAGTCTAGATATGCACTATTAGTTCAATCATCTAATGAAGAATACTAAAAGAGATATGACAAGTTTGAGTTTGGTTCAAATTATATAAACTACTTAAGATTTTGAAATGCTTTGACTGTGTATTTAGTAGGTGAGTCAATTCTGCTACAGATTCTGGAAAGAGAAATCTTTTCATCTACTGGCCTCAAAATGTCCATCTTTCAGTTATTTTTCAATGTTTGTTCTCTCAGCTGAACCATGACAAAACTTTATTTTGCAACACACATAGCTGTCATCAAAAAATACTTCATAATTCATAATTTTCTAAATTGAATTTTGATTAATTAAAAACTATTGCAAGCATTTTAGGTTGTCTTTTGGAACATAGTGATTGTTAAGTTTTTGGTTGTTTTTGTTTAGCTGCATATCAACATCGACAGGTTATTTAATACCAGAATCTAAGTATTTTGTACACAATTATTTTTTTTTTTTGGAGAATGGTTTTAGTGGTACAAATTTTACTAATTAACCCATAGGTAGGGAGAGAATAGGTGGATTCATAACTTTCCCTAGGGTATTTGTGTGTAAGTGAATATAATGAACCCAACTGGAATTGGAATTTGGCTCTCTAATTAAAAATTCCAAGCCATTATCCATTACACTACCTGCACATCCAAGTTTACATCACCTTGTATTCCCAAATGGTCACCCATCTAGTTACTGACCAGGTTCAACCATGCTTAACTTCAGTGATCATACAGGAACCATTAAGTTTTTTTTTTAAATGTTACATCCCTTCAAGATGAAGACAATCATGACATACCACAGATTCCTTAATGACCTTCTGGGAAAAATAGTAAAATTGTTTCTTGTTGTTTTCTCTATTGTTTGGATTTCACAATTTCTCTTCACTTAGAGTGGCCATGAATTAAGTCAACTCTACTATTTAAGCCATAGCAGGGGAGAGAAGGGTTGGATTCAAGCCTTTTCCAAGAGTATTAGTGTGAATGTGAATGCAACAGGTTTGGATGAAATTCAAACATAAAACTCTTAGGTACTTTATTAAAAATTGGAAATTTCTAGCATTTAATAAAGATTTGTCCTCATATGCTTGATAGAAGCTTTTTGGACAAAATATTTTACAAGAGATAAAAATGTGAAAAGATTCCAAGAGAAATAGTCAAAATCTCTAGCAGAGTCTGTGTTTTTCCCTAAGAACAGTTTTGGTATCTTTTGCAGACAAAGTTCGGATCAATATGTTACACATGACACAACATTCATAAAATTTGGCAAACCAGGATTTCATATGATGCCAACTTTCTTCCTGTCCAATTTTCTGAAGCTGATAATTCAAATGATAAAACATTTCAGACTTTTTCAACAGACTCAGGTTTAACCATCAGAATCAAAATATTTGAAAAATGTTATGAAATGTTGATTTATGTACGTTAATTTATCCTTTTTAGAGTAGAATGCATTATAACTAAAAATACAACTTGAATCATTTGGATATAATTACTCATTTAAGATAACTTTGGATGAGGTCTAAGGAGGGTAAATCCTTTTGTTTTATTTTTCTTTAAATAACAATCAGAATAACAAATTTTAATTAAATCTTAAATTCAATACATTGTTTTTTTTTTTAAACATGCTGGTTTTTATATGTAGTTTTTTTTTAATATATGTACATTTATAATTGGTGTTACTTACATATAAGACGGTGCTGAAAATACCTTAGCTGAACCCACTCACCAATATGACTGACAATCATATGACCAAACACCTGACATTTTGGTGTGGAAGATGCCTTCTTGATTTGATTGAGAACTCTCTCTCTCTTACATTATATATATATATATATATATATATATATATATATATATATATATATATATATATATATACATACAGATTTGTAATTATCTATCAACACCATATCTGTAATTTTTAAATTAGAGTCAGATAAAATATATATATTTATATGTGTCTTCATGTTTATGTGTGCATGTATATACAAGAAGTTACTGAAAACTTCTGAGACTGACCAAAAATCATTAATAAAAGTCTTATGTTTGGGCATTAAATCAGAATTTTAAAATTGGGTCTGACAAAAGACTTTTGAGCACCTCCTCAGATGTGTATTTTAATGACCAAATGGGTATAACACTCTTAGAAGATGAGAAGATAAATATAAACACTATAAACTTGCTTTATAGTTTGTTTGCATTGTTTATATAGATGTGGCCAAGTGGTTAGAATGTTAGCCTTCCAACTATGAGAACCAGGTTCAAATCTCACCAGGGTTGATTATGTGACTTCTTGGTAATATGTGCCTGGAAAAATAATCTTAACATTTGGCATTGCCAGAAAACCATACCACAGATTTGCCTAACCAAGTGAGTGAAATTAGGTAGATGAAACTATTTGGAAGCGGTTGATAATTCTAGCATGAAGTCACAAGTCATTATGGCTGAGAGTTTGAGTGTACTGCCCTTGGTCAACTTCTTATCACTCCCAGAAACTATAACTAAGTTCTACTGAGCATCATTGTAGTATAAACCATGAGCTGGCTGTGTGAAGAAAACCAAATGTGCCTGAGCATACATCTGCAACAGGGATTAGCTAACCTCCCTAGTAGATGGGCATGCTTAGAATTGACGCCGGTCATATATATTGTTTATATGCAAGTAAAATCCACATGTTCATTAATGGTTCAGTACCTTTATTTTCTTTTTTTAATCCATCCAACCTGTTGAGTTGTGGATACTTAGGTTTGCATGCAACAAACACAAGTGTCACTGGGAATTCCTTCAAATTTAAGAAATGTTCAACTTAGCATTTCATTCTTTCTGAAAGAGATGCAAATAGCAAATGGTGATGTTAAGCCAAAAACTAAAAGGCAGACACTGCATTCCATCTGAAGTTATTATGTAAATCACATAAACGTCAGTAAACCAAATTTGCTTTGAACAATTTTTATCAAATTTTAAACGATTAATTTAGACATCTATCTATATTTCTGAGATGAGGTATTGTAACTATTTACATTGTTTGAACTGCTCTCCTTGTCTTTGTTGCCATATTCATGACATTTCATCCATTGTACACTCCAGCCTTCTTCAGGATCTGTCTATATTTCTGAGATGAGGTATTGTAACTATTTACATTGTTTAGACTGCTGTCCTTGGCTTTGTTGCTATATTCACAATATTTCAGCCATTGTATGTTCTGGCCTTTTTTCTATATTTCTGAGATAAGGTATTTTAACTATTGCACTTTTTACATTGTTTGGACTGCTGTCCTTGTCTTTGTTGCCATATTCACAACGTTTCAAACATTGTACGCTCCAGCCTTCTTAAG